ACCCTACAATATTCAATTATGCGATAGACTGGATAATGGATATCGCTTGTCGGTACTCGTGAGGTACACAAATTAATCCAGAGCATAGTACCACAGATCTTGAATACGCTGATGATTTAGTCCTTTTCGCTAACAATTCGATGAGATGCAAATAATGCGAAACATATCACCAATTGCACCGAGAATTGGATTCAGAATTACTTAATAAAACGAAAATTTTTTCATTTTACTTACAAGAAGATGATAAAATATCTATTTTTATCGATTCATTACTGGTTGAGGAAGTACCTGATTTCAAATACCTTGGGTCCACTCTAATATCAAATGGACAGGCAAAAGATGATATTATAACTCTGATCACGGTAGCTAGAAATGCCTTCTTCCGGTTTACGAAATCTTTCTGGAGCCGTCGTGAAATTTCCATAAAAACGAAAGTCCGCATCTATACAGCCGTGATCCGTTCGATCTTGCTATATGGTTCTGAGACATGGCCAATGAGAATGGAGAATATTAAGAAGTTGTCTGTCTTTGACCACTCTTATCTAAGGTACATTTTCTGGGTTCGTCGTGCGATTAAGATATCACATGATCGCATCCACCTTCGTTCAAATACCACTTGCATAAATAATGTTATCATAGAGCGTTGCCTTCGGTGTTAGGGCACATTCTCCGTCGTCCATCACAAGAGTTGACGCATATGTCGTTATCGGCTAAACCGTGTGATGGTTGGCGTCAAAAGGTGGGCCAATCAGGACCTGGACTGATATGGTGAGAAAAGATTTTGAACGTGTAGGCGGACCAGCAATATATGGACTTAGACGATGGAAAAAGGAGTGACTTCCATTATTGTGGACGATATTATCAGATTGTACCCCTTGGAAACTTCTTACCCTTGTAGCTGTTGGAGCCAGCTTAACCAATAATGATGAGAGCTATTAGAAGAAAAGAAGAATGTTAATCGGTAATCACCAATAATCACTTTACTAATCACTCGAATTTTTAATTTTACTTAACTGTTACAATGGATTGGTTTATTTATGAATTTTCTAGTTGCACATAAAAAATTGAATTAAGAAAAAATTTCAAAAAATTTTTCTGCAGTTGATTTTAGTGGAGGTTGAAATATGGTGAAGTACACTTTTCAAGTCGATATCTTATTGATTGATTTAGCCTTGCAGATGTGAAATGATTGTTGACAAAAACGGTCATCATTTATTATTTGCGGTTAAACGTGGAAGTGCAGATTCATATTTGTGGAAAATCGCTGTGAGGATTTATGCATTGAAGGTGATTTTATCTGTTGCTCTTATTTCAAATTTTCGCATTTTTGAGATTTATAAATTTTTTATCTCTGTTTTTTAGAGGAACGTAGATGGAAGCATTGAATCATGTCGCCTGCTTACATTGCCGCAGTTTCTTATATTACAAGAATCACTTATGGCATTGTTGAAGAACTGTGACATTGAAAATATGTATTATTTGCCATCATGCACAATGCTTCAGTCTTCTTTCTCAGAAAGGTATTTTATACTCTAGGAGATTTTTTAATATCCAAAAATTTTTAAATTCTAAGATTAACGATTAATCTCAAGCATTTTTCCATTACATCTGTTATTAAGCCAAGGGAGATCTTCTACCTAAAAAAATTACTGGAATATTGTGGGATTAGTTCGCTGATCATTGGTATTTTTTAATAATTTCTGATCTTTAAGAATTAATAATAAAGAAGAATGTGTTATATGTATGGATCGAATTTCCGATGCAATACTTCCTTGTTCGCATTCATTTTGCTTTGTTTGTATTGAACAATGGAAAGAGATGGGTAAAATCACTTGTCCTATTTGCAAACATCCTATTCGAATGGATGGTAAGGATACATGGGTTATTGCAGACCAACCGAATGAAAACGATCTGCATGATTATCTTATTTCTATTGCTGGTTCCTTCGATAATTCTTGATTTGATTTGAATTCTTGAATTCTTTGTGTATTTCCAATTTTGATTATTTTTCTTTGTTTTTCTTGTTTCAATTCATGGGTAATTTTATTTATTTATTTATTCGAATGCTGTAGGATCAATAATTAAGAATGTTTTTTTTGAAATTATGTATTGTTTTTTTTTAAATTATATATATATATATATTTGGCCCAATCATTTATATTTATCTTTAACTCTTTCATTTTTGATATATGCAATAAGTATTTTCTTGCTTAAATTATGCGTAAGAATAGATGCTCATGTTATGAAATCTGGATTAGAAAGCATGGAGTTTTATGTGGATGCAGCTAAATCGGCCGGTTATCTAATTAATTGTATTTATTTGTTTTTTTTCTCTGTAGATTTATACCGTTATTAATTTTATTCTTGCATTAGCAGCCAACGCTGCAAGCCTGGCTAGAAATAATGGGTATGGGTTAACTACTTAAGATATTTTTCTAAATTTATTAAAATTTTGAATTTATGCTGTGGTTTTCAATAATGGTATTTACATTTATTACAACATTTTTTCTTCATTCTGGAATCTTTAGAGTTATAGCTTAAGCTTAAAGCTTTGCTGCTAGTAGCAAACAGTTTTTGATTTGTTTTTTATAAATGTCTTGAAAATTTTTCATCTGAGCTTGGATTTTAATCCCAGTTCAAATCGGCAATACTGTATCTATAATTTTGATAAAACCATGTAGAAATATTTTGATAGAATATTGAGAAGGGCTTGTCGTGCTTTTAGAGGATAATAAAAAATCATAAATAAAAATAAATTATAAATCTAGCTCTGCCGTTTTAAGAAGGAATCCTATTAAGAGATTCGCACAGTTCCATGACGAAGGAAATAAGCTGTGAAATTCATTGACCATTGATTTGATGGTTGGTATTGTTTGTTGAAACATGTTGAATCATTGCAATTGTTCGCTGTATTTATTTATTGTATTTAGAAAATTATTTGCATTCTTTTTATGCATTATTTTCATATAATTTTTCAATATTTGTTTTTATGAATAAATTTTGATAAAAGTTTTTTTTTCTATCGAATGGAAATGTTTAAAAAGTGGATTTGGATTATAGATTTTTAGATATTTTTAGACACCATACAATTTTAATTAATTATAATAAAATCATTTGTTCTGAAATTTGATGGAAAATAAAGGAGAAGAAAATCGAAATTTCGGCGGTTCGGCCGTTAATTTTTCGATTTGTTTTTTAAGATTTGCTTGTTAATCATGCAGTAATGTTAAGTGATTTTAAGAAATATTTGCCTATTTCGACGAGGATTCAGGCATCGGAGCGACGCTTTTCAGAAAAATGGAGTCGAACCGATCGCTCAATGGCTATGGCAAAAGTTATTCATAATAGTAGTGGAGTAAGCCAAGTGAAAATGATTCATGAAGTGAAAAAAATGAAGGATTTTAAGCTTTAGCGAAGGAGGTGAGGTGTCCTTATTTCAGCTTATTCCAAATTGAATTTTTTTTCGCCGTTTAGGCAAATGAGGTTATTGTGCAAGGGAATATTTCGTTTAATAGTTATTATTTAGTTTTTGTTGAAATTAGGTTTCTTTTTGTTTTCGTTTTTGATTGTTAGATTTTGGCTGAATGGAATCAGGGAAGTCGAGAAGTGTGTTATTGCTTTGTCTGACTTAACCATCACAAATTTTATTCCTATCACTTGTCGAGAAAAAATCTGTCAAAGCGCAGTGCGAGCAATGCCCAAGACGCACCTTTACTTTTATCTCTGAATGGCCCTTGGCGAAAATTTCATATTTTACTAACAAGTGGAGCGAGCCTTATTAGAAATGGCGGTTATTAACCACTGTTATTAAAAATTAAAAATTGGAATGGCTCAGTGCGTTGTTGCTTAATTGGGAGCGCCGATGCTGAGGTTCGATTCCCCGTAGGAGTAAAGCTGTATTAAATTTATATAGCTAACTAATTAGCTGATTTGCATGATCAAATTTTGTTCCGCTAAATTAATTGACACTTTTTCATCAATTAAAAAATATTTGTTTTTCCACTATTTCTAACGCAACTATTTCAACTATTTCCCATTGAAATTAATCTTCCTAAAAGGAAAAAGGAAAAAGGAGAAAAATTTTACAGCTGTTTTTATTAAAGATTATAAGATTAGTTTCATCAATTAGATGAGGCATAGGATAGCCGAGTGGATAAAATATATGTGAAAAAGGCCGATAGACTTATTAATTCATCGGATGAGACAATGGGTTAACTTCATAACCGGTTTCCTTATTTTCAATAATTTTCCAAAGTTAAATTGTTTTCTTCCATTCCGATTTGTTCTTCTGCTATTATCTACATTTTTTTTTCTATTTATTTTTGAAATTTACCAATGACCATTTTATAGAAAAAAGTCCATTTCTCATTCATTCCTCCTGTGGGTAGTATAGGTGGTCATCCTCAACCTCCGCTCCTCTACAAAAGTCTCGGAGCTTGAGGATTCTTTTCACTATTACATATTTTTGACAAGGCTAAAATAGTATGGTTTTTGGATCGCCTTTACGACATAAACACATTTAACTTTCTATTATAACAATATTTAATCATGAATCTGTAAGTAAATTGCACTTTCTCTTTCAATCGTCAAAATTTAACTGTAAATTTGTTCGAAGATGGCTGCGGAAAAAGAATCTACTCAAGGCTCGAGAGAGATAATCATATGGCATTTATTTAAATTTAAGTTAAGTTCAATAGTGTTTTCATAAAATGTTTAGAATTATCAAGAAGATCATCAGGATCGCTTAAAATGTTGTTTCTTGAAAGGCATTTCAAAATTCATTTCATATCCCTCAAATAATTCAGGCTAATTAAGAGTAATGGTTTCCATAGAGAAATATTAATTCATAAAAATAACTTGCAAACTTTATGACTTTGCTCTTCACTTTGTTCAGCGCTTTTTCGATTTCTGAACACTGGGAAGTTCTCAATATCTCATCACTTATCTCCTATCATTGCAATAAAGTAATTTCTTTATTCCCGACTTTGAATTTCGAATAAGAAAAGATTATTTCAATATATATTAGTTTTCTGTTTGAAAACCTCAGCAAATTCTATTAAATAATATGATAATAATCTGGAGAACTGAATTTTTACTATTATTTTCTGGCTTTATTCTTACTTTATTTGCTACTATAATAATCCGATCAAAGAAGATGGCTCAATTTGAATTCAACTAAGCTAACTGAGATTCTGCAAACTGTCATTGTATTTGTAATAGTCATTATTCAATCGAAAGCTTTTTAAACACTTCGTCTATCACTTTCGAAAGTTTCTTTCATTATTGCTATATTTTTGCATCGTTTTTTGAACAATTTTTTTAGAAATTTTTCATTCACAACAATGAGGGCAATATAACCAAATGATGTAAGTGGGTGAGGTGAATCAGTCCGCGGTTTGTCGCGAATGAACCTTGTTATCAAAAGCCAGGTCGATTTGGTGTTGCGCATCACTTGCACTTCTGTCCCCAGTGGCTTTCTGGCCAAAGGTTTCACCTTAGTAATCACTGGAACCAGCAATACATAAATGGTGATTTCTATTCAAAAAAAAATAAAGATATGAGTTGTTTAATTTTTGGTTATTTTGTTGCCGGTGAAGTTGTTAAAAGAAAAGATTTTAGCAGAGTGTGAAAAAAAGTGGTATTCACTATTAAAAAGAAGTTATGTGTTCGCCTTCAATGCCTCTCAAAGTTATCGAAAATTAGTGGATTGTGCAATGATATGTCACTATTTGACTGTTAACGGTCCGTTTTCTTTTTCCATTGTCCATCGTTTATTCTTTCCAAAATTAATTTGTAAATTGTTCATTTATCGGTTTAAAAGAACGGCGAGTGATTAGCGAGTTTTTTTGTCGCCCGTTGGGAGACGGACGGGTCCTTTTCCCGGTAGGAGTGGATCTCTTCTGGATCCGAGGCCCATGTGCATTATTTGCTGCAAAAACCCCTGCATAATTTCAAGCTGCACTTGCAGTCAATGAATCGAAAATGCTGGCCCTAACCACTTAATTTTTTACCAAATCAAAAGATTTTCAAAAAGACAAGTATAGAATTATAAATGAAATATTTAATATTTACTTAATCATAAATTTATTTTTTATTTTACACGGTCGCTTCAATGGAATTTTATAATGAAATTTTATTTCTTCCATTATAATTTATAATAATAATTTATTTATTTATTTTACAATAATTTTTCGATCGATGTTGCAAACCAATTAATTACAATTCATCATTAAGCTATTGCTTTCTGTTATTTGTTTTGCATACAAATATTTAAATTTACTTCACAGAAGAAATCTTTTTAATTCGTTTGCCAAATTTTTTCTCTTAATTTTGCATTTTATAATACTTAGTATGCTGTCAAAATGAGAAGAATTAAAGCAGGTTTTTGCAACTCAATTGTCAGTTAAATTTTGCACATTTGTAGTGTCGTTTGAGCTGCCACTATCGTTGTCGCCTTTCATTCTGTTGCATTTTATGGTCGCTCGAGATTGGTGATATCGTTTTCAGATGCATTTTTGAACGTTTATCTATTTACTTGCATAATTACGACATTAGATTATCCTGTTGAGCGATGTTACAATTCTAATCTGAAATAATTTTGCAAGAAAAGGTCTTCTCCTGATATGGCTTTTGATTGTTGTTGGGGCGCGAATGATGAACGCACTAAAATTATTGAGCGCCAACTACGGAAGGAAAAAAAACAACTTAGGATGCAGGTGTTCACTTTTTCACTTATTTAATATAATTATCAACCGATTTAATTTGTACAGAGACTGCTGGATAAATGAATGGGCAACGGTTTAGATCATCCTGTTGAGAGAACTCAGCTGCTCCTTCCCGACAGGAGAAAAACCCCTTATTGAACAAAAATGGACCTAGCTGCTCACCTCCACTTTCACCTAGCATGGCTTCCTGACAAAAGTTTTTAACCACATGAACAGCAAGCTATTTAGCTTAACCAGAAATGATGCGCGATATCACTCAATTATTAATTTGTGCGTTCGTTATATAACAAATTATGATTCCAGGAACAACATCAGAGCGCTCTGTTAGGAATAGCTAGATGCGCAGAATCTATCTCCCTCTATCTCCCAGGCCTGTGATAGAGGATCCGTGGTTGATAATGATCATGGCCATCCACAGGAGGTAAAAAAAAGTATATATATATATATATACATCAATTTTAGATAAAGCTGCTTTTATTGGGTTCTGGTGAATCTGGCAAATCAACATTCATAAAACAAATGGTGATTATTCATGGAAAAGGAGATTTCACGACTGATGAAGTTCGCGCTTACAAGCAGCAAATATATCAAGTTAATAAGATTTAATGGTTCAACGAATGTAAACGAAATTTCTAATTATTTTAAAAAAGTTGAGAAATGAGAAAATGTGCCTAAGCAACAAACCACAAATTAACCAATCATAAATACGCTTTAAATTTGCAATAAATTGGTTTTAATTTTTTTAAGTAAAAATAATATTCAGAGAAAAAACCTCTAATTTATTCTATCCAAATTTTTATTTAATTCAATTGATGGATGGTATTGAAGAATGTTATCTCAGCAATGCGCACATTGTTAGACGCGAGGCAAAAACTCGGTTTTCCGTGGCAAAATCCCGAACGTCAGAAATTTGTGGATTCAATAATGAAGTTTATATAATAAATTAATTGATTAAAAGAGATTATCAATTTAAGAGAAAGACTGATGCAGAACTTGATTGTTGTCGAAAATGATTTTTTCTTTTCTTTTAATTCCGCATCTCTTCCGCATTATTCGCAGCTTGGCTCGTCCCTAGCTACTGAGGCGAAACACTTATACTTGCCATAGAAGTCGGCTGGATCATACGCATCACCCAGGCTAAGACATTTACCAAAATATTTGCCAAAAAGCCAACAGTTCACTGCCCTTCCTTGAACTTTTTGTTTTTCAAGTTTTATTTTCAAGTTTTTCCAAGAAATTTCAAGTTGTTTCATTACATCCACCTTAGTCGTTTAGATTTACGAGTTCAGAATTAATGCGTGGAATTGATCAGTCGACTTTCGGCGATATTGCTCCATTGATACGTGACTTTTGGAGCGATGAAGCCATTAAACGTACTTATGAGCAACGCAATCTTTTTCAGATTGTAAATGTTAAATTTTAAATTTTTCTTTAATTTATTTTAATGAATTTAAAAAATCCGAGTTCAGCTAAAAATTTTTTGCTCAGAATCTCAGAATGTAATCGGCACAATAATTTCCTTTATTAATTTGCACTGCTAGGGCTTTCTCTGCTGGGCACTACATGGCCATCTCGTCCTCGAATAACACATATTGCATCCACACATACAGAATCTTGAGCCCTCGACTTACTTAAAATGAATTTAAGATTGGCTTTTGTACTAATATTATTGATTGTTAATAATAATATTGATATTTGTGTTAATAATAATAATAATAATAATAATAATAATAATAATAATAATAATAATAATAATAATAATAATAATTTCAATTTACAGTGCGAATCATGTGTTTATTTTTTTGAGCATATCAGTCGAGTATCAATGTCAGATTACTATCCAACAAATAAGGATATTTTATTTTGTCGTAAGGCAACTCGTGGCATCACCGAACATATTTTTGAAATTCAACGCATCGCTTTCAGGTATTTTCCTAAATATCACAAATTTTTTAAAGTATATAAAATTTTATACAATCCTTCAATGATTACAGCCTTACCAAATTTGAAGATTCATTGATGTTGGTGGACAGAGATCGCAACGACAAAAATGGTTCCAATGTTTTGAAGATATAACTAGTATACTTTTCATGGTGGCTTCATCTGAATACGACCAGGTCTGAATTCCTAATTTTGACAAATTTTTAAAATCAATCCATCTAAATTATTTTTAGATCATCCATCGCATATTTATACACATATTTATACATAATATATTATTTGTATATTTTAGATTTATATTTAAATATGATGGAAGTAATGGAATGAACATAAATGCGACGAATGGCGTCGTTTAATATTTAAAATTAAGATTTCGGCTTCAAGAATATCTAACCATGATATTTTTGATGACACCAATGAGCTTCAATTTCAGGTAATTCTTGAAGATCGTCGAACAAATCGCATTGTTGAATCTCGATCAATTTTTGAGACTATCGTTAATAACAAATCGTTCTCGAATGTATCAATAATTCTCTTTATGAATAAAAGTGACCTCCTCGAAGGTTCATTTAATAAGATTTTTTTTCACACTAAATAGTATTACTTAAAGGATAAAATATAAATATACTGTGGGAACCCAAACTATACTGTATTGTAGTTTCCAAGGTGTTAACAATAATAGATGAAACCCTACCGTACAGCCGGTTGTTTTATGAATGAGAGAAACAAATTTTGTAGCATAGCTACCATAATTTGTGGTATCGTATATTTGTGGTACCACAATGTATTTTAACTCAGTTAAATAATTAAATTGCTTGTAAATAAATCAAAGAGTTTTTGATGAAATGAAACAATGAAATGCAAAAACCTAAATCTTAATTTGAATTTGTAGAAAAAGTGCCAAAATCGGATATCCGTCAATATTTCGCTGATTTTCGTGGCGACCATCGAAGTATTAGCGATGTTCAATTTTTTATAGTCGATAAATTTGAAGCTTGCCGTCGTAATAAAAGTCGCCCGTTTTTCTATCATTTTACGACAGCGGTTGACACGGAAAATATTCGACGAGTCTTTAAGGATTGTCGTGAAACTATTTTAGAACAAAATTTAAAATCTCTGTCTTTGCTATGATTTTCAAATAAATAAAAAGAGTAATTTAAGAGGATTTTCAAAATATTAATTTGTGCTTAACGCTCACTTTTTGCTTAAAAAATTCTATTAAGTTACTAATATCTCTTTTTTATATTTTTTAATAGTAATAGTGGTCTAATAACAGCGAAAGGTAAGTTTTCCTCCTTCAATACTTAAATAACACTTTCAACAGAATTTCGTTATGCAAAGGTCACGCGCAATTTAATATCATATCACCTCCAAGTTCATACAGGAAAAGTGCATGGTGCCTACGTTTGTAGAAAAAGACATGCCCACTCACGGCGCACAGTTCGACTTCCAGTGCACCATTCTTTGAGGCGATTTAGGCCACTTTAGGGAACCTCTATTTCGCAGCTGCGGACTATCTCGTTGCATTTCATTGTCGTTCTAAGCTTATTTATGAAGGTAATTTTGCACGAATATCAAGCAGAAATATATTTATTGCATGAATAGCTGCAGAAGAAAAGTTTCTAAAATGCCTATATGAGAAAATCTCAAGATTTCGTTCTGAAATCATACCAGTTGTTGAGTTGAAATCCGCAAAATAGTGATCACTGCGAGATTATATCGATTTGCAGGAGTATATCGAGGTAAATATATTGACAAAAAAGTGTTGAGTTGCTGGGTACGTGAGGGCACATCGTGGGAGGTAGTTTAGCCACGTGTGTGTACACCTGGTCGCCAGTCAGTCATTGCGTCTTCTCCCTCCTTCTCTATCTTCCATTATATTTAATGTTTGGAAAAAAATGAGGATTTTTGTTAATTAATAACGATGTTATGAATGTAGCGTCTCGTCTTCCCTATGATTAATTTTTTTGCTCTTCCGGCCGCTGAAATTATCATTGATTTCCGCTGAAAAATGGCAATTTTTTTGAATTTTTTGCTTTAAATTTGTCGGCTTTTTCGAAAATTGAAGAAAGTGAAAAATTTTTTTTGTGATATGATTTTTAACATTTTGATTGCGTCATTCGTTATCATTTATCATTCACCATTAGTAAAGTGATTTTTCAGGTGCAGCAATGGCTACATTCCTCAGTTTTTCTTGCAATTTTCTCTACAAATCGGTTATTTCTAAAGGTTTTTTTTCTAGTAAATTCGGATTATAGTGTTGTGGATTATGGTCATTATTCTAGGTTAATGTTGGGTAAGGTTTTTGGCTTGTTTAAGCGATTAGTTTATGTTCTGACATGAAGTTGCTTACATAATACCTGGCGTCACCCGGTACGATATGTTCCATAGGCACATTTCTAACAGTGCTTAAATGAATCTTTTTTGTATATTTTTTCAGAATTGCTTCGTTTCTATTCGAAAACTCGAAATGCATTAAAAATAAATAATGAAACGAAAGTAATAATTCAGGGATTTACCGGAAAACAAGTAAGATTTTCAAAGATCTTTTGAAATTGGAATTCATGTAATTCGACCATTTTATTAAAGTGTATTAGGAAATCAAATATCAAATATCAAATCAAAAATTAATTTCTGGTGATAATTTTTAAGAAATTTGTGCAAAAAATCTTACAACCTTATTTTCTTTTCGTTTCGTTTGGTTTTTTGGTTCGTTTTGTTTTTTATATAATTATTTTAGTTTTATAAATTTTTATGAAATTTTTATGATGAAATTATCTGGTTCAAGAATGTTTTAAGGGAACTTTCCATGGTCAGCAGATGATTGAATACAATACGAATGTCGTTGGAGGTGTTTCACCTGCGAAAGCTGGATCAATGCATCTTGGGCGACCAGTTTTTGGAACCGTTAAAGAAGTGAATTGTTTAGTTAATTTAAAAAAGGAAAATTCGAAATCATTTCAGCTCGCGATTTATAAAGCAATTATAAAGCAAATTAAATAAATTAACAATAAATAAATAAATTAACAAATTTTAGTTTTCGGTTTTCGAAGATTTTCGAAGCAGTGATTTGTTTGATATAATTTGTAAGTAAATGTTATATAGAATAAGTAAATAATAAATTTCAATGAAAAAATTAAGGCTCGAAAAGCAACCGGTGCAACGGCATCAGTGATATATGTTCCCGCAAAGTTTTGTGCGGATGCAATTGAGGAAGCCATCGATGCAGAAATTCCACTTGTAGTTTGTATAACTGAAGGTATACCACAGCATGATATGGTTAGAGTAAGGAACAGACTAACGAAGCAAGATAAAACGAGACTTCTTGGACCGAATTGTCCCGGTATTATCGCGGTATCATTTTTTTTATATTTTCAATTATTAAACTTGCTTATAGTTCTGCCTTTTTCGAAAATTTTTGCACACTTTTTTTTAATTCTTCTTTTTTATTTGTACTATCTTTTTCATTTTTTTTATTTTTATACTTCTTTTTTTGTTTATTTATAAATATTTAATCATTTAATATTATTTATCCAATATTTAACAAGTATTTAATATTTTTTCAGGTACATTTATTGTTTAGGTACATTTATTTTTATCTCTATTTATATTTCTTTTATATTTTTTTGTTTTTAGCCTAGTGAATGTAAAATTGGTATTATGCCTGGGCATATTCATCAGAAAGGCGTGATTGGTATTGTTTCAAGATCGGGCACTCTTACTTATGAAGCAGTTCATCAGACATCTGTTGTTGGTTTAGGACAAACATTATGTATAGGAATTGGAGGCGATCCGTTTAATGGCACAAATTTCATCGATTGTTTAGATATTTTTTTCAATGATCCTGATTGTAAAGGTAAACAACTGTGGATAATTAAGGGATAGTTGTTCGAGTAGTAATGGTTTGAAATCAAAATTCTTAATGAGAGACAGAGATTTGGCTGCCATCCCCGACAGGCGTAAATCCGTATTTCTTTCACCATCTAACTCTCTGGTCAAAAGCTTCTAATCATTCCAGTGATGCTATTCTAACTAGAAATGGTCTAATTATTCACTTATTACATACTGATAGATAATTATTTACTTAACACAATTTTCATTGGTTTATAATTCCTGAAATTTGTTTCATTTTTTTTTCATATTCATTTTTATTACTGCCTCTTTCAGGTATTATTTTAATCGGTGAAATTGGTGGTCAAGCGGAAGAAAAGGCTGCAGAATATATCGCAGAACGAAATACTGTTAGTTTCCACGGTTTTTTAAAATTAAGATATAAGATATAATTAAGATATATAATATAAGATATAATTATTTTTTCTAGCTTTTTAAATTCTGCCATTTATTCAGATTAGTTTAATAAGATGAAATTCCAATCTTAATTCTTTTTTTTTTGAAATACTTCGGTGGTAGAAATCAAAAAAAAAATTATTTTAAATTTGAAAGGCTTTTAACCATCCCTTGTTTTAATTAGACTTCTTTTAAACTTAATTTTCATTGCTAGTAAAGTTTTTTTGTTTTGCCTTATTTTCTTTATAATATCGATTTTTGTTCTAATTTGTGAATTTTTTTTATGAAAATTTTCTTCCTATGTGGAAAAACCAAATTCTTCCCTAAGCCCAACGTTTTGCTCTAACATCGTTGCCTTCAGGGACCAAAGATGAAACCAGTTGTTTCATTTATCGCTGGTTTAACAGCTCCTCCTGGTCGTCGAATGGGTCATGCAGGTGCAATTATTGCTGGTGGAAAGGGTACTGCATCTGATAAAATCGAAGCGCTGAAGAAAGCAGGCGTTTGGGTAATATTTGTTTTTTTTATTGCTCTTTTATATTTTAAATTATTCCTAATTTCTCCTCTTTGAAAATTTTAGGTGACTCTTTCTCCAGCTCAGATAGGATCTACTATGGCAAAGGCTTTGATCGAAAAACTTTAAATTTATTTGTATTTATTTGATGATAGTTGTACTTATAACTTTTCGAACTTGCTAATTATTCTATAGTTTAACTAATAATAACTAATAATATTAATTTTATTCATTTTTTAACCAGTTTAATGCATTAAAAGAAATTAATATTATTGTGATATGGAAGCCACCCCGTTGCCATGACCGTGATCTTTTTTTTGATCTTTAATTTTCGTTGTATGAAAAACATTTTAAAATTTTTCTTACATGAACTGTGTTCTTTTCGCATTTTTAATATTTTTATTTATTCAAAATTTTTTTCAACATTTTTTTATGATTCAAATTTCTATATATTTTTTTACACAGTAGGCGTTTTTTCATTCGATATTTTACGGTAACAAACTATTAATATTAATAACAATAAACATGAAAGTAAGAAATAACTAATCAAATATATCGAAATATACGATGGTTCTTCAATAATAGCAACGGATGAGTTGATCGTTTCCATCGAGCTCATGTTTTCTTTTACCCATAAAAGGTTGAATTTATTCTCTTTTATTGTCTTTTTCGAGAAGCTAGAATTACCCTTATGTTTTAAGAATGAATGCTTCAATAATAAGCATTCGAAAATACTTTATGATAAATATAAATTTTTTATAAAATTTTGCATTAGATTTTGAATATCCTCTTTAAATTTTTAATTTAAAACTTGCAGTCAGGAAGGAAGTAATTTTTTGTATAATTCTATTTTTATATTGGGTGAACATTTCAAACTTTTTTTTGTTTTCCTGCATCCGACCGTGGAAACAACAGAAGGACATATGCTGTTGATTTTACTGTGGTGATTTTAGTTTAGTGAAATGTTTGCAAGAGAAAACCTGATAGTGTCACTTTCATTCACTTCTTTTGTACTATATCCATAAAGTTTTAAAATTTCTAGTATCGACCTGTTGCCGAAAAAATGGCCTATAATGGAGATAATAATCGAATGATTTCCCTTTCGTCTAATAGTTCATACCTTTTTTTAAAAAAAATGTTATTATACTGAAGCATTTGAAAATCGTGAAAAATTTTACCGGCACCGAGAGCAATGAAGTATTTATGATTATTAAAGGTTCTTATTAGATTCACAATTCGCTGAGCCATTCGAATATTCCTTTTCACAATAATATCATTGCGAAGTAATTCGTCAAGCTGGAATTAAGCTGGCACATAAAGGACAAATTTTTGAATTACTGCATGCAAAGAAATTCGTTGGACATTATGGGTTGCAGGTTCGTCCAAACTTTTCTAAATTTTTGTACAGATAGTTTGATTTTCCGAAACTGCGAGAATTTCTTCACATTTATTAGTAAGGCTGTGAGGAAATTTTTGCAGCTATAATGCCCAATTAAACCAATGTGAGCATTTTGGAAATTTAAAAATAATAGCTCCTTTATATTTTTTTTGAAGATAGGTGAGTGGATAGTGTTGTCGTATTGAGAGACAAAGGTTTGCACCCTTTTCTCAACAGGAATAAAGTTGTTATTGAAAAATCTGAGTGGTTCTGTAAAGTTACAAACAACTTTCTAGTCTAGGCTCAATAACATAACCAGAGGATAATCAGTGGACATAACCAGAAATGCTGATTTAAATATGTGTTTTTATTCTCTATCCCAGATCTACTTGCTAAAAAATCCACTTGCTTTTGTAAATGCTTTAAGTTATGGTGAAACTTCAGTTTTTGATGCTTCGACAATTTTTGTGCTTTCGACAAATTTTTTTGCTTTTATGTCCTAGCAAAAAAATATGGAAAATGCTAAAAATATATATTATTATTTAGTAAAGTACGGAAAAAATGGAACTTGAGGCACTTACTTCACGGGCTTTCTGATCATATTCTCGACCAAGCGAAAATCCTGTTTTATTCAAATATTGTGGCTCGGAATTGAAAATGGCATCTTCCAACGAACCACAGTTATATTTATCAATTAAATTCGGCAAATCTTTTTTAATTTCTGTTACATTGTGCAAAAATTGTTCTTGCTCGAATTCGAGGTATGACAATGTGTAGTTTATGGCGAATAACAGCTGAAATTTTTCAAATCGTTCCAGTTGCTTTTTTAATTTTTGTACTTTTTGCTTCTGCTTTGCTTTTTTATTTAGCCAGTTTGCCGGTTGCTTTTTAATTTCTTCTTTTAGATATTTTTTGTTTGCGAATTCAGTTTCTTCTCGAACTTATGCATTGTTTTTCTTCGTTTTTATTGGTTCTTATTTCTAAATTTTATCTTTTATTAAATGGTATTTATGAACGTCAAGAAATTGCGGATTTCTCTATAATTTAAGCCGAGGGCTATTCCTCTATTGAAAATTTCTAATAATTATTTGTTGTATTGAAAACATTCAACACAACAAATTCCCAATTAAATTCTAAAAAGACAACGCAAATTAAAATTTTTGAGCCAATTCTTATTGTAAAATTAACGAAAAATGAGAAAAAATCACTTGTTGTTCGTTGAGCGAACTTACTGGATTGCATTGCTGAAATATAACATCAAATTTTGAAAGAATACCATAAGAATTTCAATTTGTAAATATCAAAACCATTAAGTTTAATGAGACGAAATCTAATGGACGAAGTAACTATTGAAAGGTGCTATATTGCGCTAAATATTAATTCAATCATGCTTCCTTATATAGTTCGAGCTCTCCGCCGGAGTCTTTCTAAATCCTTCGAGTAAGTAATTGAATATTAAAATAGTTATTTAAATCGTTAAATATTCAAATAGCGAAAACTGACCTCAAATGGTGTTTCAATCGGAAACAATTTTTTATTATGTTTTATTGCGTAGTTTGCCAAAAAAATATCTAACATAGGGTAGTGCTGATGAATTCGAAAAAATTTTTCGCTAAGTTCGTAAAGCAAGAATAACAGCCAAAGTGGCTTCCTTCTTTCCCATCCGCCTATAACCTTTTCTTGGTCAAAGCAACATCAATCATTCAGTGGTGTTTGTCACCGCCGTTTTTTTTATTGTAGCTAGTTTACCGTTAAATTGTCTTAATTTTTTGTCACCAAAAACCGTGTTGTTTAATCTTAATACGGTTATCAAATTAGGCGTTGCTGCTATAACCTTTTTTAAACGTAGATTGTAAATATATATATATATAATATAATATATTTTTAATACATAATATTTTTTATTCTTCTATTATTATTGTATTATTATTATTTTCATTATTATTATTATTCTATTATTATTTTTCATTCATTTTTCTATCTAATTCTTCCAGTGTGCGCCATTATTGCATAAACTCTCTAGCGCTTATAGGACTGAAACGATAGGTAAAAAGATATTAGTTATTGGCTTGGAATTTCTCAACGATTTGTCTCTTCACTAAATTTGTCGTTTTCTACTTATTCATTACCTGTTCATTTAAAGTTTTTATGGACTTACAAAATACATAATTGTATATGCTTATAATGCAGTTTGCAGCCCTCTCAGACACCTCTTTCTTCGGCTATATTGATAAATGTTTATTTCTAATAAACGAAACGAATTTCTTAAGTAATTTTGCAAGTATATATTCGACAAGAGCTCTTACTCTTCATTGTTCAGAGCAAACAAATCGTAGATGAATCTTTATCTAAATTTCATTTGAACTATAAGAAAGTATGAATCTCAACAAGCCGGCACAGTAGAATTGAAGTTTTCTTTAAAAGATTTCACTAAATCCTAAATCCATCGGACCGATGTGTGAAGCGAATATGCTGGGGCATCGCTTGTGAATCGCTTAGGCCTATCAAGGCGCTGTTGCAAATTCCAAAGTGATGCAAACTGCATTATAAGTCACACAGATCTGGATAAACAGCTATAGCGTATTTGACTGCCATTGCCAATAATTATTATAAATTGAGAATGACTTGGCGCCTGACAACGACTTTGTTTATTTAATGTGGATGAGGTCACCACGAGTTATAATATTCCACTGTTTACTAAGATGTTTAACAAAGGATTTATTTATCCCTCTCGGAGATGTAAAATAAAATATATTTTAGATAATTCAAGTCAAAAATTAACCGATTCTACTGGCATGCATAAACTGCTTTTTAAAGATGCAAATTCATTGGCGTGTTTTTTGCGGACGTACGCGCAGTGCTACTGTATAGATATGGATAGATGACAGGGAAAGGTGAGAAAACTTGGTCCAAAATAAGAAAAGAGATCGAGAATTATTCTGGTGAAACTTGCCTGCTATGCTGTTGTACATTTTTCGAGCCCGTTTTCTCGCTTCTTTTTGTGTATCACCAACACCGCTGGACCACAGCGCAAGTCGTTGCCGATAATTCCGGATATCTAAAAATACACTACATTTTTGATAGCGATATTCATTAATTACCCTACAACTGATAAAAAACACCAATGATTTTCTCACCTTCTTAAAGTGAAATCTTACAATAAATGAAAGAGGAATATCAGGGTGAAGAAAAATATTCTCATTACAACTATGAACAAAAAGTCTTGACAGATTTTGGTACAAATTCCAATCTTTATGATCTATGATTTATCGCAACAAATAGCTATATATCTATTATCATTATTGGAATAAATAGGATTACAAATGATTAGCTCATATCGTTTCCTAATTAGCCAAGCTCGGCTGGTTGTTAATAAGGTAAAAATCCTATTTATTCCAATGAATATCGCTGATGCCGCTGATGCCGATGCCACTTTTCAATGTGTTTCAAAATTAAAGCAATTTCTGGAATAAAAGTTCTTGCAAAAGCTAAACGACTTATATAATAAATGATTAGGTCACATAATGCAATTCTCAACAATTCTTTTAAAGAAATCAGTAAGGCAAATTTTACCAAAGTCTAAAAGAGCAACTAGCGATCATTTTTTTCTTCTATCACAATTTCTCAGCCCCATTCACTATTAGGATGAGATGCGTTCACCAAAGGGTCATTTGGGGATAACAATAACGGTTGGTCATTATCTTGACTATGGCTATTTTTTTTATTTTTTTTTAAAGAGTCCTCACCATTACTGGTTAAACTCGCTTCACCTGGCTTATCACATTGGACAATATGCCAGAGAATCCCTTGGCGGTAGAAATGCAGGTGAGTCGCCAGCATCACCTGGATTTTTGTATAGGTTTACTCCTCCGGGGAATAGAGCCTCAGTATCAACGCTCCCGATTCCCCATTTTTAATAAATTAATTCGGAATAAATATTCTTAAATTTTCCGGTTAATTTCCTCAAATTATTTATTCTTTTATTACATTTTATTAATTTTATCATTTTAATTATTTAAAATAAGGAATAAAAACTGAATTTCTTTGCTGATCAAAAATTTACGAGAGAAAATCATTTCCTTTGTTTTGTACCTCCATTCGTTACGCTTCCAATAATAAAACAAATGATATAAATAATGAAGTTAGAGGATCTATTTAATTTAAAATAGCATATAGAAAAGCTTGCATTGTTTCATACGTGCATAAACAGTTGTAGGTAAATATTTGCTAATATCATCGCCATTTTGCATGTTTTTGCATCGGATGAGTGATTGCAGCGTTGTTGGATTTTGCAAATCTAATTCAAAGATGACTGCATCTGACATTTCTAAGGCCTCCTTGGCACGCAGTGAAACTGAAATGTTTAGATGAGCCAACAATCTTGATGGAAATTTCAAAATTATTCCAAAATTTAAGCGAATTCATTCATTCATTTCATTACATTCAATCATTTATTCAACATTTTGTCTATAGCGAAAATTTCGACAGGGTAATTATGAATTATGAATAAGCGTGTTAAATATAATTATGCTTTTATCGAGCAGACACCTGGCAGGGGTCGCAAAAATTCCAATTGTTCTCCTCTAGATATCCGCATAACCTCTTGTCAACCTCTTATATGAAAATAATTTGGTCAGAAACCTTATTTATAAGCATAAGCATTAGCTTTTTCATCATTATTTTACCAGATCTGGGCGATTTTCTTCGAGTTTGATCATACAATTACTAGGATTCTAGGAATCTTCCGCAATCTTTTCCCTGTTAATATTCCCTCATTAAAAATTTTAATATGTATAATTGGACTAATAAATTCAATAAATTTTATTTTTAAGCGTGCTCTCAGTCAAGAGCTGGATTTGAATTTCCGACATCTGGAAACATTCTCCCATAAAGCACTGATTTGTCGTACTACCTTACTGTTGCTACCGTATTATATCTTAAATTACACCGGTTAAATGTGAAATTCTCTTGTCCGCGTCATTTTCGTTTGTTCATTCTCAAAAACAATTACTTTACCATACAATTTTTTAAAACAGTGTAATTTTGAATCAAATTTCATTTAATTTTATTTCAAATACATCATATTTTAACCAGTTTTTTTCTAAAAGTGTCATTGCTGGTTACAATCGTTCCGCTGGACCAGATAAGAGTTTATTAAGGGCTTAAGAGTTTAAGTTAAGGAATCATTTGGCGGTAGAAATACAGGTGAGTTGCCAGCAGCAGCAGGATTTTGAAGGTTTATTCCTGCTGGACATGGAAGCTTATCGTTCCAAAGTGAACGACTACCAGTGAGCTATTTTACTACAGCTATTATTTTCGTCGTTCGGCGACACTGCCGGTGATGCGATTTTTATAAGTAAATTCTCTTTATATGCAACGATTCAATCGTATGAAGAGAAGGGATCAGCCAGTCAAATAGTCTTGCGATAGTGATATATAGATTAATTTAATTTTCCCAACTAAACTGTTCAAATGATTGGTTCTGAGAAAACGTAACCGTTATCCCAAACTTTTGTAAATGGCACATGTATCGTTCCAAACATATAGTTTCTGCCACCATCAGCTGATTCTATTGCCCACAAATATGTTGATCTTTTCTCACTCTAAAATTTTTTTAAACGGTAGTAATTCGATATTTTAGAAAATTAATACATTACTTTATATAACATAATAATGTATTAAAAATTATACTGTTAATGGTTCATTCCAAACATAATAGTTTTGCAGACAAGAAAACTTTTTATCTTTTTTATCAATCCCTTTCACTGCGAAAATTATATACATGGGAATTTTTCCAGCTTTTCGATCATACAACTATTCACAAATCCTAATATAAACATGGATTGTGCAGCTCGATTTTTCTTAAATGAATTAATGTTTTTAAAATTATTCTATTGCTGGGAGAAAATAAAATAAGAAATTTACTGAACTTACATTATTAAAATTACATTTGAAATTTTGCTTTATTCCATCAATGAATTCGAATTTGATTGCATTAATATATGCAAACGTTAGATAGAAGATTTTTTTCATCAAATAATTCATAAAGCTTATGGAGAGAAATAGAAAATCATGCCGTATTTTGTTGATATAGCCAAGAGTCGATCCTATTTAGTGATTTTCCCACCTGAATCGCAAATCAATATGTTTAAATGCGAATATGATTCGTATAAAATTATACTAAGATAACAACTGAAATATTAATGCAAAGCATGGAATATTAAGCACTTTGCGTGGCGGAAATAGCTAACGCAATCACGCTTCGATAAGCAGAAAGGGTTTGAACTTAAATAGTCTCGAATTTGGTCGTGATCCTTTATAAAATAAATTTTTCCGTTTCACACCATTATGATGGTTCATTTATCATTTTTTATTTGTTTAAAAATATCAGTCATTGACAAGAATGGAAACGTCGGTTTGTCGAAAAATGTTTCGATTATTGCTTCCTGCTAAAACTGGAAATTTCAACCTAAAACTGTTATTAAAATGGAAACCTGGATGTTGGTGGCTTGTTCTCGTAGCTATTTCCAAAGTCACTCTCTGGCGAAGTTTTCTCATTCTAGAAGTTTACCAAACCAGAAATAATGAGTGAATTAGAAAAAAAAATCACCAAAAAGGGAAAAGCAAGAAATAAAAAACTATGGGAGTTTAGGAAATGGCCGTTATTCTTTTTCATCTTAAAAATACTTTTGAAAATTTTTGGCTTTTTTAGCATAAATATGTAAAAGATATTTAGATATAAAGATATTTTTTTGATTTTTTTGGCTTGTGAACTCCCTAGCCATTAATAAATATTAATTTTTCACTGAGTTTTTGAACAAATAATTTGAAAATTATTTGAATAAGATCTTTGATCTACTCCTGGAATCACTGAAAAATTTTTTCGGTAGAGAATGAATTCATAACTAAATTTTTAATTTTCGATAATAAAACTGCAAAATATGTTCCAGTCATACAAATTTTTAGCACCATCTATCTAAATGTAAATTTAAATACATAATGATCCTATTTTGGAGGACTGTCAATAAAAATGAGATGGCACAATATGGTTGATGGCATCCTCTTATAGATGGCATCCTCTTAAAGATACTCATGAGATGATCATCATTCATGGTAACCATTCTATATAGAAATATGAATCCTCTCCTATCAAAAAAAAGAGATTTCAACCACAACCACTTTGGTTCTTTGAGATTAAAACGAATTCTGTATTGCTAAATTAAAGTATTGAAATGCAGTCGAACTTTGCAGATACATAAATCTTGGGTGCAAAATAAGATTAAAAATGTATTGAAAAATCAAAAATGTGATCAAAATTTTTAAAAAATTGAAATTCTATTTATTATTTTAATTGCTTACTCATTTATTTTTTAATCGCTGAATCATTTAAATTAATAATCAAAATTTATATAATTAATTTTTGACCAAAGAGCCAAAGATGAACTGAAAGAATTTTAGACTAAATCATGAAATAAGCCCATTGAAAATTGACTCGATGGACTCGATGCTTTTATTATTGCAGATTTTTAACATATATTATCTAACAATCATCAATTTCTGCTCAAACAAACCCAAGGTTTTTCGCTCTGACAGACAAATGAAGCATGCCAAATCAGTAATAACCAGTGTTGTTGGAAGGAATTAGTCGATTAATAAGTCATAAAAAGGAGGAATATGAGAAATGCGGAATATATTTTTAAAAATTATGGAAATACGGAAAAGTGGACTAAGTAATAATTGCGACCCAGTTTATTTAAGTGGATAGAAAACAGTTGGTGGAAAATGTATACTGTGGTTAGCGATGTTTTTGGTGGGCGTTGCGATAAATCTGAGGAGTCATATTCTTTGCAAATAATCATCAATTTAAACTTTCCAAAAAATTTTCAAAAACTTTATAATTATGAAAATAATCATGCAAAATGCATTGGCAGGTTTCTTCAGTTATTGAACCTCGAAAATTTGTTGATTGCTTTTTAAAATTTATTTTTCTTCTTGTTTACTGAAAAAATAATTCCTAATTTAAATAACAGCATTTAACAGTATTTCGCAGTATTTCTTTATCACGTTTCATATGGTAGGTGCAGCCAATGTAACCACACTGTTTGTGCTGCTGGAAAAAATGTGGTCCTAAATACATATTGCCGTGGATTCGTTCAATTTATTTCACAGCTAGGCAGAGTCAATCCTGCATCGTTGTATATATCACTTGGAAGTCATTAGACGGCCTGACGATTTCTTTCTCCTGTATAAATTCTGTGGCCCATAGACTTCCTTCTTTTTCTCTTCATCTGCATAATGGTGAAAGCACTCAGAAGATCTGCAGAAATTGATTTTTTTCACCTTTATTACTTCTTTGTGCAGTATGGCAAAAATAAAAAACTATATAATCAATGAATTGTTAGTACATTTGATAGGAAATTCGTTTTTATTTGTCTCTGCATTTTTATCTTGAATTCCAGTAATTTTGAAATATTAGCTTGTAGCTTCATTCACTATAATAACTGGGAATAACTGGGAATTTTTAATTTTTGGCTGTTAAACCGAATTTCTGAAGGATAAAATTTAGAAATTTTCTTTTAAATGGTAGAAGATATATTATCGAAATTCGTGAAAAATTTGTTTAAATGCAAGAATAATAGATATTATGTACTTTTTTAAATGAAGAATCTGCTATAAGTAGTATAGCCGAGTGGTTTATCTTCAGATTACCCTCTCGAGTTCCTGGGCTCGAATCCTGTCATTAAAATCCGGACAATGTTGGCGACCCACATATCGCCAAAGGACTCTCTGGCAAAAATTTCTCAATGTATTAAAAACCAGTGGAGCGAATCCTACACAAATCCTACACAAAAAATGGCGAGGTCTAACCACTTTTCCTGTTTTTATGATGGGAGATTCAACTGCTTACATCGTTATTTTCTCTTAGAGAATACATATTTTAGAATAAATATTTTTCTGTGCAGTATTGTAAATTATATTATATTATATTATATTATATTATATTATATTATATTATATTATATTATATTATATTATATTATATTA